TAACGTGCACGTTACAATGAAAGGGGTATTTCAAGGAGATCATTCTGTGCACTTAATATTTCTTGTGAGATTTATATGTACTAATAAGAAACATTATAGATTTCAAGCTGACGAGAACGGACTGTTGATAGCTACTGATGTAGCCGCACGAGGTTTAGATATACCTAATATAGAGCATGTGATACACTATCAAGTTCCCAGGACAGCTGAGGTAAATTTAAGATATTATTGTAGATATGAACTAAACACATTAAAAGTTTATCATGTAATTGGTTTAATAATTATTTTACAGAATTATGTACATAGGAGTGGTAGAACGGCGAGAGCAGAAAAGGAAGGTATCACGGTTCTAATGATGGAACCTTCCGAAAAACAAAATTACACCAAATTATGTAAAACTCTTGGACGCAGTACGTTAATGTTAAAATGTTGATTTAATAATTCAATGATTAATTAAATAAAATATATAACGTGGATCTGTTTTTATAGCACATGATTTGCCTGTATTTCCGGTGGTAGACAGACTATTAATCACCATAAAGGAAAGAGTGGATGTCGCTCGCGATATCGATAAGTTAGAACTGAAATCCCGTCGTCAGAATAATCAGAAAGGTTGGCTACGAAAAGCGGTGGAGGAGATGGACATGGTTTTGGATGAGGAGGACGATGAGTAAGAAAAATGAGCCGATTTGTTCTTTCCTTGATTTTTTGCAGCAATTATCTACTTTTATTTTATTTTAGTGAGTCATCGACAGAATCGGAAGAAGCAGCAGCGTTGAAGCGACAATTAAAGGCAAAGAAAAGTCAACTACGATTTTTATTATCAAAGCCAATGTTCCCGAAAGGATTTTCGGGAAAATATCTTTATGATAATTTGAACGTAGATATAGTTCAGGATGCACAGAAAGCTGTCGAAGTGATGAAAAAAATAATAGAAGATAATGCTGATAAGAGTAAAGCTAATAACGCCGCAATTCAGAAAAGACAACAAAAATTAAAACCTCAAAAATTAAAAAAATTCAAAAAGTTAAAAAAGACATAAAATATATATTTTCTTCATACAAACAGAATCATTGTTTTTCTTTTTACATTATTGTTCTATTTTTATAGACAATCGGATTTAATAAAAATTAGATAAATTTTATTTTGACGCAAGTTACGCTTACGTTTGTAATTAATTTGAGCGAATCGTCGTTCTAAGAAATATTTCTAAAGCGCGTTCTTATCCTAATTGTTAGTATATTAATAGTATGGCAAAGATATATACAGAAGATGTTTGTATTTTTCTACAAAAATACTGGTAATTTTCTTAATATGGTTTCTAGTTTTTAATATAATACATCTCGAAACAGCGGATAGAAAGTCGATCGTGCGCATAGCGCGCGCGATAAACACAGCCGGTTTGTCTACACTTTAGGGATTTCCATACAGTGCTGCCTCGAGTTACAACGAAATCTCTTCCATTTGCGTATGATCATGAGCATCATAATTATATTTTGTATATCATCTTAATTTCAGAATACAGTATTATAGATCACTTCGTCCTCTGTACTGATGATCGAGTCCATTTGCTCGCCTGTCACCATTGATGAGTTCACGTATCTTTTATTGCTGATCACATTGTGCGCCCCAAAAGACGAATTGTTGCCCTGCACGACGATCCTGATTCGCGCCATCACGTGGCTTCCTGGACACTTCTGCGCCTGGTTCGCCGTCGCGGTATCGCAGATCTCGGCATAGATTTCCTCGGTTTTGTTGTTGCTGGTCCTGACCAGCTTTGGTAGTGACGGCAGCAGCGTTAGACTGTCCCTTACGCGAGAGTAATTAGGCTTTAGCTCGACGCGCGGTATTTCCAACACGCTGGTCGATACGGATCTCTGCACCGGCTGCTTGGTGTTTCGATTCTGGCGGGTCTGATGAGAGGTAGTTTCCGGCTCTAGACTGGAGTAACGCTCCTGAGATCTCATGGCTATCTCCGGCCTCACCGCAAACGTGAACGAGGCCGATTTCTTCGCGGGGTTTCGATTTCTGTTACCCTGAGTGAGTTTCGAGATTCTGTCCAGAATACCGTTCCCGGTGCTCTGCTTTGTCTGTTGGTTCCGTTCTTTGACGGAACTCCGCTTCAGGTGCTCCAGCCCGTCCTTCAGGCTCTGCAAAATTGGCTTGGTCTCTGATTTTGGCTTGATCTTTTTCAGATGCATTTCCTTCAAGCTGTCCACGGTCGGCGGGTGCAACTTCGTGGGCGCTACTCGCGGTTCCGTTGCTCGATCTCCAACCGTTCGGCTAAAGTAGAAGAACAGTTTAACCATGCAGAATAGAGATTCTGGTGTAACGAGCTAACGGTTCATATATTTTTCGCGATACGGTAAACACTGAATAGAAATTTTTAAAAAAGTCCGAATGTTAAGAAAACAGAATTAGACGATTTTACTTGAACAATGAATAACAAATAAAGAATGTCACTTAATTTTTATTTATAACATTCGTTGATTAAGGAGGTTCTACAGGTACTCTTTAGTCAGTTGAGAGATGAAGAGAAAATCTTCAAATTCATCGATTCTAAGTATTCATAAAATATTTTCGTGAATTTTGATGACGTTAGAGCTTATATCATACCCATATTAGTCGAAGCGAGGAATAATTAAAAATATCGTGTAAGTGCTCCTTTGACTCTGGCGGCTTATAATGGAAGAAAATGTGGTAACGTCGCGAACTTGACAGTTCTGCTCATATGACCGTTATTTCACAATTTCACATAATTCTAGAGTAGGTACTTCTCCGTAAGCGCTCGTAAACGTTAGGTGCTTAAGTTTGAGGTGCTGTCATACTGTGGTGCTGTACTGGCTGTACACTTTTCGCGCGGGTGCAGTCGCTGCGACATTGTCAAATCTCCCTTGTTATTCGAAGCACGCTACGTGAACTGTGATATGGCCTGTTTCAATAGCCAATATCACAAAACTTTACGCGATAACCCTTGTTTTTCTCGATATTTCTGAAAAGGTTAGATTAAGATCTATAAGAGCTCCGTTTTTTTAATCTCTGGTAGGTCGTCTTTATATAATTAATATCTCGTTTCCTGTCTCCAAAAGCCCCTCTGCCATATGTAGCTTATGTTAAAAACTGTGATTTCAAAATTCATTTTTGCAAATTTTTACACGGTAACCGATGCTAAAATTTTTCGAGCACTTTTCTCGCATCTCAATTTATACGTCCATAAAGTTTTTTTCCAATTTTCAGATACATCCATTATCTGTAGAACCTCCTTAAATAAACAGCATTCATTTATAGAAATTTAGTCGATTCAATCTTGTCCCATGGAAATGAAAAAAACAATCGATACGCATTTTTCGGAGGAAGTTGCTTATACCGAATTGTACCCATGTATTTTCTATCATTAAACGAGGTTAACGCCGATCTCTTGAAGGCAAAGTGGTACCGATGCAATTAATACGATTGCAATGTATCTTACTGTGAGATAAGACAATCGCGAGTTACTAATTGATAGCTACAGTCAAGCGGTTGTTTCCAATTTCAGATTCGCGATCATGTTTTCCCGATGTTACAATTACATTTATTTAAAATAACATCGTATTCGTATTTTCAAATCTTCAATGTGGTTTAATTCAATTCCATTCATCGCATCGATATTCATTACGGCGATTTAAATATCGTGTGTGCAGACGATCCCATGAGAATCCTATGAGATTTGCGAATCTCCGAGTTCGAAGCTTTCGTTATACCACAAATTTCATCGAAACGAAATATGGAGTGTAAATGTATACATATATGTATAAAAAAAAAAGCGGCGTTATTTTGAGAACGCGCCGCGCCTCGCATAATAATCCGCACGTTGCACTCTGTTTTGTGCTTTGTGCTATTTTCAACCCACCCATGTTTTGTCGACACACCACCGCTGTTTTCTATGTTGCGCTCTTCATCTTCTGTTTCTCTCGCTCATCTTTTTGTTCTTTGCCAATTTATCTTTGTTGATTTCTGTTAAAGCCGTGATCAGACTACGGATTGAGATTGGATTGAAATTTGACCAATTAGAGCAAAGTTCACTAAACTTGAAGTTAGTTTCCTTTATTCTGATTGATTAAATTTCAATCCAATCTCAATCCCAATCCGTAGTCTGATCACGGCTTCAAGCCCTTGTATTAAAATAAACTTGAAGTTCCAGCTTTCGATTCATAGATCGATTTCCTGAAGCTTTGGTTCGGTTCGCGATGTTTACAAAGAACTAACTCGAAGCACGTGCATATTGAAATGGATCCTCTATACTCGCAAATATTAACAATTACCGGGAAAATTACAATAGTTTGCACAGGACAATGCAAAATATCCACGATTTTCTTTTCTTCTCCTGCAGCAATGTTTGAAAAAAAAAAAAAAATTAGAAAAAAGAATGCTATATATCATGTCCCGAAAGTCGCATGCATGATGCCCGTTCTAGACTGGAGGATGAGCCGACTCTCGGCTCATCCGCCTTCTATAGTGTACGTGACATAAACTATATACATAAACTATAGATTTTTACCCGTCTACACCACTCACTCGGATGAGCCGAGAGTCGGCTCATCCTTCAGTCTAGAACGGGTATTTCGGAAAGAAAAACTTTAGTCTAGTTGTCACTGAACTTAATCGAAAAAATTATAAATTGTAGCAAAGTTCAATGTACTCCAAATCTGACGTATTCAGATGTTTATCTTAAAAGCCATTTTTTAATAAAAAGTCACGTGGTGTGTGAGCAGTGTTTGTTTAATTTCGATTAAAAGTTAAAATAAATAAAATAAAATCAATGTTTTTAAACAAAATCAATGATACACATCGTTTATTATTTGGGGTGCATTCCGTTTCATGTATGATGCACATAATGCATCATTTATTCTTGTTTAACATTCGGTGACCAAGGATAAATGATGCACATGAAACGAAATGCACCCTTGGAGCTTTCTATAAAAAAAAAAAAAAAAAAAAAAAAAAAAAAAAAAAAAAAAAAAAAAAAAAAAAAAAAAAAAAAAAAAAAAAAAAAAAAAAAAAAAAAAAAAAAAAAAAAAAAAAAAAAAAAAAAAAAAAAAAAAAAAAAAAAAAAAAAAAAAAAAAAAACTGAGATGTCACGTAACTATGTCATGTAACCCTTCTACACCTCGCGGTTATATTGTTAAATCTTTTGTAAAAAGGGCCGTCAGCGTATTGTTTGTCTGCGCGAGTGTAGGAGAAAAAAATGCTAATGCGCTTTTCCCTCATTGCACACGGTGGATGCAACAAGACGAAAGAGGGTGA